CTTGGATATGTAGGTGGTACAATGGATAATGGCTCTGAACTGAAAATCGAAGAGCTGAGTTCCAATTTCACCTGTGTTCATTATATTCACTTACATGCAAATACACTTGGGAAAAGTAGGAATCCACCTCTTCCCTACCAGCTATGAGTTAATTAGTAGGATTTGTATAAAAAATAATCATTATTATCTCCAAAAAGTTCTTAGAATCTAAAAATAATTATTGTCATAAAATCACACTGATATAAAAAAAATAAAAGGGTTGATATGCTGAAAAACAAATCAATTAAAAAAAACCAAGACTCACTTCATGCTGAAAATCTGCTCATTTTTTTTTCTGTCTGATCCTAGTCATTCTAATAAAAAAATGTTTTTAGACCCAAATTTACAAAGTATTTACAAGTATATGAAAAATACTTTTTTTTTTTCACCCAAGCAAGGCAATAATGCCGCTAAGACATGGTGGAGGGTGTAGTGAACAAAACAAGATCTAGATTTAAAATTCAAATGCTAAGCACTGACTCAATGATCTTGTTAGAAATTTAAAAAAGACTCGAATTTACAAATTTTGCTTAACACACACGCAAAAGCAAATCCAAAACAAAACTCTTGAAATTTCACACCTTAATGCGAAATTTTTTTTCAGCCAATAGAAAACTAAGAAACATTTAAAAACAAAATTCAAATAATCTTCAATTCTCAAAAACAATTTTTTTTACGGACCTTTTCGCGAGTCGACGCGAAGTTTGTTCATTGTCCAATGGAAAGGCCTGAATCATATCCGGGAGTGAATTCCTAAATGACCTTTTCAAGCCCCACAAACAAAATAAAAGACGGGTAAGTTTGCCTGTCACCAGAGAGAAGGAGACGAGCATATTAACACGTCCCTTGACAAACGTCAAGCGATCGTTATTATTATCTCTACCTTTTCCCCTCGCTTCTTTTATACTTGATAAACAAACGGAACATTTAAGACTGAGTGATTGCTTCAAAGACATTCCTACCCTACGAAAATGCTCATACATACATACATCCACACATACGTTCATGCCTACGTACGCATAAACTCATTCTTGCAAGGACTACCATGAACATTTTGACAACCTTGTATCAACCAAAATACATTAATTTTATTTGTAAAGACCTAAATTGATTTTTATGTATATAAATTTGTTGTTTCACTTATAATGAAAAAGAATAAGAAAATGTTAGAAGAATAAAAGAGGATTCAGGAAAACATGATGGTGACTGGCATTGCATTTAAATTTTTGAATATTGTATGTAACAGGGAAGCAAGAAGCCAGAAGAGTCTTTCACGAGTGAGATGTGTGAGAAACAAAACTATTAGAACAGAATTTACAGTTACACTGGGCTAATTCAATAGTAAAACAATGACCTAGTTCCACAGGCGAGAAAAGAGACTATTAGAATGGAACTTGTATCTTGCTTTCTCAACGATAAAATGATTAGACCAACTTACCAATCTTCCGCTATGCTTAAGTTCATGTTGTCGAGATAAGATGAAGGAAAGCTAATTAGAAATTTATATCATGAGTCTAGAAAACAAGTAAGCAAGTCATAAAAACCGTGGTTACCCAAGAGAAATTAAAGGAACCAATGGCTGAAAGAGAATCCTTAAGGAATTTTGTGAACTCTAGAAAGATATAAAGACCTTAGGCCTCACGCTTGGCATTGTTAGAAAGTGAAAGTCAAATATTCAACCTCAGAGATGACCATTTACCATTTATTTCGAGTAATGCAGTTTGATCAACATCGAAGATGACAAGTGAACGAAGAGGAGAGATAAAGAACAAAAACTCCAAACTGAAAGGAGACTGGTCTTACCTGCTAAGATAATACAGAGTGGGTGGTTTAACAGATAGAAAGAGACAAAATCTCGAGAAAGAAAGACAAGAATACAGAGTGGTTTAATAAGATAAAGAAGAGAGGAACAGAGTAATCAGTCAGTCCATTGTGTGTCACGCATGATAAACGCTTAGACGATCATGTATCTTTCAATACATGACTGACGAGGCAGTAGGTTGCCATTTCTTTCAGTGATAGACCAGTTGCCATCAAAGGCTATAGAACTCAGTCTGTTGTTTGCCTATAGCTGGTGGGGGGGGGAGAAGAAGAGGATTCCTATTTTTCCCTAGGGTATTAACACATAAATGAATGTAATGGATTCGACTGGAATTTGAACTTGGCTCTCCAATTCCTCAATCCGAGCCACTATCCATTACTCCACCATGCCTCCTGTGTGTAATACAGAAATTAAAATAGATAGAGTGAAAGAGACACCAAGAAAATTAGATAGAAAGGGAGAAAATATAGAGAAAGAAAGCCAAGAATAGAGAAAGAGAGGAATGGTGATAGAGACAAAGACATAGTAAGAGAGAGGGTTCAGTTAGACGGGAGGGGGGAAATACTAAGAAAATAGAGAAAGACGATAATAGAAATAAATAGAGAGAAAAAGAAACAAATGGTAATAGACAAAGACATTTTTTTTTAAGCGTTTCACCCCAAGCAAGGTGGGAAGCCACTAGGACGCAAGGGGTTACAGAGCAAGGTCAGATAGGAGTGATAGAGGAAAGGATGAGGAGAAGGATAGTGGATAGATCAAGGCAACTGGAGATGTCAATTGACATTACATTTGAATAGTTGGAGATTATAGCTCTCAGGGAAACAGTAATAGGGAAGGGAGTTCCACAGGCGAGATATGAAACTATTGGAGTAGAAGAGACGGCTACATTTAGGAGTTTTGACAGTGAAAGGGTGAGAGCGGGATGCCAGCCTCGTCGGGCGCTTGAACTCATGAAGTCTGGGAACCAGCGAATGCAGCTCCTCGGCGCAATTGCCATGAAAGTATTTGTAAAAAAGACAGAGAGAGGCGACGGCGCGTCTGTGAGAGAGCGACTGTAGACAAGATGCCAGAACAGGGCCAATTATATTGCATATTCACCATCATATAGCCTGATGTGCCTTTACCGATTGGTCCACTAAGGAGCGTTCGGTTAGCGAGGTCAATTTTACTGTTTTAAAACTACAATTCTCCGTGATTTTCTCTCGTACATTCATATCTACTCGATGCGTATCCAAATGTAAACAAATGACGTCACACATTATGAAATGGACAAAGTCTGGCAATTATTTTTTAAGACATTTTTTATGTTTATACATTCTTTTTATAGATACAAATATTTAAGTAAATGCTTTGTTTATAATAAACAGTATTAAACAGCATTTACCGGCCTGAATGTCCGAGAAATTTTCATAGAAAATATGCGTCCTCCAACAAGAAGCGAACCTGTATCCTATACGGAACTGTTGTATAGCCTGACGTGCTCTTACTGATTGAGCCAGAGAGGAGCGTTTTGGTTAGCAAGGTCGATTTTACTGTTTTTAAACTACAAATCTACATGATTTTCTCTCATAGTCATATCTGCTTGATGCATCATTTGTTTACATTTGGATATTCATCAAGCAGATATGAATGTATGAGAGAAAATCATGGAGAATTGTTGTTTAAAAACAGTAAAATCAACCTTGATAACCAAAACGCTCCTCAGTGGCTCAATCGGTAAAAGCACGTCAGGCTATATGATGGTTCCATATAGGATACAGGTTCGATTCCTGTCGGAGGACATATATTTTTGATGAAAATTTCTTGGACATTCAGGCTGGTAAATCTCGTTAATACTGTTTATTTACTTAAATATTTGTATCTATAAAAAGAATGTATAAACATAAAAAATATCTTAAAATAAAATGCAATATATCCATGCATAGATTATATTTTATATGAATATTCCCTTATTGTTGTGGAGTGGTTTCACAGTGGAGGCTTGTATTTGTACCAAGTCGGTCCTAAAATAGGTTCGACGTACAAAACGTTAGGAACTTGATATAATAGGTATTACGCAGAGAAATCTAGTTGTGGTCGCTGGTACTTTAGTATCTGACTAACGGTCATCCGGCATCGACTGACTCACCGACCCACTGAGTGACTCCTCATTACTCTTACTACTCCTACTTATTATAGGTGGGAGAGTCTATTAACTATAGAATAGGTGTGTTCCACTATAAGACTTATGAAAACTGAGATGTAATAAAGTAGTGGTGGTGGGGGCTGTATAATACATTTGTGAGGGTGTATCAGAGATTAAGATGGAATGATCTATTATAACATGTCTCTAACATGTATCTAGATACACTGCATTTATTTTCAATTTTTCTGGTTTACCTATATTGATCCATTATTATACATAATTAGGTCAGAGAAAAAAAAATGTATTTTATATGACTACTACTTCATGAAAAATGAGATATTGTAGAGTGCGTATCATAGATTCAAGGGGGGCATGAGACCCTTGCACTGGCCCTGTTTATGGATATTAAGATATTTTCTTTAGCTTTTATTTCAATGCCACCAAAGTGTTGAATGAGAAGAGTGGCCTGTACATTCCTATTAATGATATCAGAATTCTTAGAGTTGCCATAAACGTTTCCAAGAATAGAAAAAATTGGAAAGGAGAAAATACAACCAAACTGAAAACGAAATCTTTTCCGAACTGAAGTGAGATTTAGGATTTGTAGAAGGATCAAAGTTGAAAAGTCAAGTCGTGCAGATGCCTTCAAGTAGGAAAAGAAATCTCAAAGTAGACCAGCATTCATGATATCAGGAATGATTCAACCACTGGTGCAGATGCATTATGAATGCAAATGAAAGTTAGAGTCATGCAAACTTATAGAGGCAAGCGTACAAACAGGTAGATAGCATGACCAACTGATGATTAATTGTTTTGTTTTTTACAGCTTATTGACGGTTATTTAAAGCTAAAGTCTATTTTAGACTGAAAAAAATCCATTCTTTTTTTTTTGTGAGTGAATCTTAAATTAAAAATTTGTCGAGTGGGGTATAACAATGTTGTTTCTCGATACAAGTTACACTGAGCTTGGAAGAGGGAATGGATTAATACCTTGGCCAAAGGTCTTTATTCTTT